TTACAACTGTCTTTCCTTCTACGTATCAGACTGAACAGTCTTCAAAAGAAGAATGACAAGTTTACACTTCTCGGCGAAGGAAGAAGGCTGGGGACACTGTTCAGCTTGGAAACTTAATGGATGATACATTTGTCACTCCTGGCAATGGAACAACACCTCAGAGTTTGTTATCTGGATCTGCTCCAAGAACTAGAGGAAGAGGCAGGTCTAAATTAACTCGTCCATAGACATTTGTTTTTGCATGTTTTTTTTTTTGAGTCTATTGTATCTTTTTGTTGGGATATCTTTGTACCATGTAACATACGAGTAGGGCATCATCTACTGGTCCCTCTCATACAACTTTTTGTATCTTTTTTTTTATTTCAATATAATCAGCCCTAAGGTTTCCATAATATATATATATATATATATGAATTTTAACTTTTTATACTTTCTAGGAATGATTAATACAATAATGGCTATTAAAAGTGCCTCTAGCAATCCCATAGAGAACGAGACAAAGCATTCATGGACATATGTCACCAAATTAAAAAATTTGTGATCAATCGGAGCAAAAGACAATATAGAATTTCAATGTCATTTTTGTCAAGAAAAATTAAGAGAAGATATTCTAGGAGTAGGGTACACTTGGTTCGACAATCTAGAGTTGGTATTTGAGTATCTTGTAAAGAAACTTCAACACAAATTCAAAAAATGCAAAAGTTGGATACTGATGCAGAGAAGAAAAAGATGAATATTGCATTTAAGAAATTTCCACTTATTCCGAGCAAAGTCATTCTAATCAATTGTGAAGCTCTCAGTCAAGTGGGCACCTATTTAGAGAAGAAGGTTATGATTATGATCATAAGAAAAAAAAATGTCGGGCAAGAGTGTTATTGAAAGAGCATTTAATTTGCAAGTATGAGATCAATTACATGAAAATCACTCGAATGTTTTATTATGCATCTCTTCCATTTCTTTTAACAAGAAATTCATATTATTTTAGGGTCTATTTGAGTAGTTACAACTTATTTAAATGTTGTTACGCAGCAGTAGTGGCATCAAGTTGTTGCACAAAAGGTGTTGCAGATAAACTGATTGTTTGTTTTTTGCAGTTTTGAAACAATTGTGTTGCAGATGTTTCTTATTAAATGACATTTTTAACCCCATACTATAGTATTGTTTATAATAAAATGTTCATACTAACACATTTCATACTTGAAAGCAAACATTCAATTCGAACATTACAAAATAAAAATATACCTCACTAAACAGTAAGTAGCACGACAATCAAAATTTAAAAAAAAAAGACTATCAAAATTAAAAGAACCCTTACACCACTACTTTCACACTACACATCACCACCTCCATGCTACATAAATCTCCTATACCACGACCTCTACACCACACAACTCTCGTATACCACACACCAACACATCCACATACCACCACCTCCACCAATTTCGGGCAACAACAACCGAATTTCAGGCAACAACATCAATTAATTTGCATTTCCAATTAATTTTCAATTGCAATTCCAATTAAGTTCCACATGCAATCACCAGCATCACCAAATTTTGAGCATCAACATCAATCGAATAGAGCAATGAAAAATCAAATTCATCTACCGGATGTAGCGTAAAGAACCCAAATCATCAATCGACAGAGAATCCAAAAATCCCAAAATCCAACATCAACCAAAAACCATCGAACGATAAGAGCATATAAAACCCGGGACACCTAAATATTTGCAAAATCAAAATGCCCGCATAGATAAGGTAGAAAATACCAAAACATAGGGGAGAGAGAGGGACCATCGCACAGATGGCGGAGGGCCAATGATACAAAGCGAGTCAAAGAGCAGAGGAGAGAGGGAAAGCAAGAATGGCAAGCACACTTCAACAACCACCGTAACCAACAGAACAACACCCACCCACTAGAGTCACAGATCAAGGGGGATCGAGAGAGAAAAATTAGGGCAACAATCGTGAAAGAGGGGAGGGCTCGAGCGAGTGGTGTGCAAGAAGCAATAGCGAGGTAAACACGTTAATGAATTGCAGAAATGAGGGCCGCAAGATCGAACCCGAGGCCCGCATTTCATATGAATTATCCAAATAAGCGGCCTCACTGCAATTACCAAACACACAACTCAGCGTTTTCACGCTGCACCACGAGAAATAAGCCGTCCCAAACGGGGCCTTAATGTGTTCTCATATGCAGCTGACAACACAATCATTGGATATATTCTTCTTGGTTATAATCTATTAAGAACAAACTTGCCTTAAAAAGAAAGAGCATGTGTTAAGAGAATGTTTGAGCCTAAAAAAAGTAATTTTGAATGAGAAAGGAATTACCATAATTTGTGATGCTTTGATAAAAGCGCAAAGAAGGTTTCTCACTAATTTCATGAGCGTCACAGAATCTAGATCAATGTTTATTAAAGATATTAACTATGAAGCTCTGCACTGCCAATGAAATTAAAGAAGTAATTGTGCGTTTATGTTCAAATAAAGTGATTCAAGTAATCACTAATAATGCATATGAGTGCAGAGCAACGAGAACATTGATCGAGGCTCAATATCCTTATATTTTTTGGACCCTTGTGTTATTCATACATTGAACATAGCAATGAAAAAAACATGTGCTACAAAGAATATAGAAGGAAATAAGACAATTTATGAGCAATGCAGGAAGATAATTAACAAGATGTTTATAAAAAAAAATATTATGAACCATTCAATGAGATTATTAATCAATGAGTTTGTAAAACTAAACAAGTTGGGCATTGCTGAGACCCGTTTTGCATGAAGGTAATTATGCTTAGGAAATTCAAAGCTATAAAACAAGGTCTACAAATAATGGTAATTAGTGAGCAATGGAATGTATATCGTGAAGATGATATAAACAAGGTAAAATTTGTGAAAGAAAAATCTTAGATAATGTGTGGTGAGAAAAAATTAAATATGTTATTGATTTTACAAAACGTGTGTACGACATGTTGAGATTGGTTGATACAGATAAACATTATCTCCACATTATCTATGATATGTGGAATTCCATGATAAGAAAATGAAAAAGGTATTATATATCGACACGAGGAAAAGAGAGATAATGAAGTCTCCAATTTTTGTAAAGGTGTATATGAGATTTTAGTAGAAAGATGGAACAAAAGCAACCATCTACATTGTTTAGCTCAATCTCTTAATTCAAAGTATTATTTGATTTGATGGTTATTCTTTATTAATCTTATATTAATTTTGTCACTTATAAGTGCATTTTTTATTAGGTATTATAGTCATGCTTGGCTAAATGAAGCTCCAAATCGTGTTGCTCCATATAAGAACATGTAAAAAATTGAAGAAAGTTCAATTATGGATTTAGTGGTGCTTTTGTTGATCATGACCCCATAATTTTTAGAGCTATTATAAATGAAAATGCATGGTGGATGATTTATGGAGCAAGTTCTCCACAACTGCAAAGTTTGGCTTTCAATTTTTTATGCTCAACCGTACTCTTCTTGTTGTGAAAAAAACTAGAGAACATATTCTTTTGTCAATTCACTTAAAGAGAACAAAATTACTCCGTGATGAGATGAAAATTTGGTATTTATTCACACTAATCTTCTTCTTCCGCTAGGAGCCCAAAATATTCTCAAGGGGACACAAAATTATGAGATGTTGGTAAAGATGTCTTGACTACAATAGACGATATTGGAATCATTAAAGTTGTTAATCTTTCTCTTTATGAGCCATGCTTAGAAAGAGTATTTTTCATCGATGAAGGTGAATGTGTCATTGATGAGGGCAATGGAGCTAGCATAAATAATGACGCCACTATTGAATGCATTAACTCAAATTAATGATAATTATGTTGTTATATTTTAACATTTTACTATACTTTGCTTTATTTTATTATGGATGACATTGGTATTAAGTGTTTTGGTAATTTTTTGATATTTTGAATGTAATTGAATATTGCTTCTAAAAACTTTTATGATTATAAAGTTTTCTTAATGATTGCATTTATTGTTTTGTGATGCCTTTATTAAAAAATATTTAAAACAAATATTTATGTTAATAATTTATTAAATATTAAAAATGTGTTTGTGTCGTATTGTATCCTATTTTTTCTAATTATGTTGTGTCGTTGTATCAAATCGTGTCATATATGCGTCCTTGTGTTTGTGTCATTGCTTCATAGCTTGGCTCATTTAAACCCCTAGGCATACCATTGCCCTACATCATCTTTCCCCCAATGCACAATGCTTCCTATGAGTGTCTCTGAGCTACACCAACCTGCATTTTAAAACAAAGGAGCAAAGTTGTTCAAAACTTCTATTATACACTAAACTTTATATAAACTATATTGGTTAATGCAGCTTAACCAATTCAGTTCTATACAGCTGACCACGCTAAACGATCCACAAATCCCACCGAGCTTCAACGTCCAAAAAGCTCACCAAAAACAAAGGTTTTATCAAGCCTGCTCCATTTTTTCTCTATAAGTTTAGGCAGCGAAGATTGAAGCACATTATAAATCCATCAAAGTTGAAAACAAAGAAGGTGTAATTAAGTCAAGATAAATCATGAGCCTGCTCTGGTTAGCCTTGATAAACAATTCGTGGGTTGAGCTTGATGAGCTAACAATGCAAGCTTGAGCCAAACTCGAATCAACTCATTGGTTTGTGATCTGACCTATTTAAAAAAAAATATGTTGATATGCAAATACACTTTACATATATTTGAATTAAAAATTTTAAGTGCAAATTTATTAAAAGCATTTAAATTTTATATCTCACTTAATTATGTAAAGCGATTTATTATTATGTTTTCAGACATCAGTGTTGGAAAAGAGGAATTTCTGCAACAAGAAAGCATAATAAAAAAACACAGCACAAAGAATGAACAGAGTTCAAATAAAATTAGTAAAGAATACGAATGAACTACCAAATTTTCAAAAATTTAAAAAAAAAAACATTTCATAAAGCTCATGTCCGACAAAGAGCAACTAATGGAGCATACCTTTTTAATCAGGAGAACATGGAAGAAGAAAAGCTGAGCAAGTGGCAGAGTGGAAAGCATTGCAAGGAAGGTGCAAGAAGCCTAACATAAATGACATACCTTATCAATAATCATCATCACATAGTACTCCATAGCATGAAATTGGTAAAACCTAACTTCCAATCATCATGTATGCCATTATCATGGTATAAAAGAGTCCAATTTAGATTTTGTAAGGAAAATTTACATATGTGGCACACAATTCTTATGTATTTGCATATCTCACACCTAAATTTTCATATTTACATACACAGCACTTTGGTATAAATATGAAAGTTTTAAGTGTGAGATAGGTAAAGAAGTGAAAATTGTTGCTCTTAAACCTTAACTAAACCCATATTAAACAGCTTGTGAATTTGGAATAATGAAAAAAGAATTTGCTAACTCACCACGACCACAACAAATGGCACCAGTGAAAAGCTACTTCCCAACTTTGAGACTATATTGACGGAGAACTTCGTTCGTTCAAGAGTACACGAAATCAGCACTGCAATTCCTGTCGACCACTGGAAAACAAGCTGCAAGCCCAAGACCAAGGTACAGAAACCATAGAGACCTGTCAATAAGCAGTCAGAATGAAAAGGACCTGAACGAAAAAAACTGCCTAAATTGCATCGGTATCCAACATATCTGCCATTTTAATTTACTATTGTAGGTCGAAACTTCGAACTCAGGCAAATCAAAATATATTCAACTTCTATAGCTGTGTCGACATAGAAAATGTGTTTAGTTACTGATGCTGATGTATCTAGAAATGGAAGTTGGGAAATTTATGTACATAGCACACAATTCTAATGAATTTACATATCTCACACCTAAACTTCCATATTTACATACTATGGCATACTATGGCGCTTTAAACCTACGCATAAAAATGTGTATTTTACTTCTAAAAAGTGGTAATAGTGTTATATTTTATGTGATGTTAAAAAATGAGTGTTATGTGTGTAAATATGAAAATTTAAATATGGAATATATAAATATATAAAAATTATGTGAAGTGTAGATAAATGCCCCATGAAAGTGATGAAGTTGGAAGATGTATGCTTACCAAGAAAAGTGCTGAGACCATGAGTACGAAGAATCTTCCATAATTTCTTCTTCCAATACAGTTATTTAGCCACTACAAAAGCAAGATGCAAGTAAAAAACGCCGTTGTAATTTTAATATTTAGCCACTACAAGAGCAAGATGCAAGAAAAAAACACAGTTGTAATATTAATAAAGATGATAAGATAAATATGAAAACTACCGATTCCACACATTACTGAAATATCACTGATCTACAAATAATAAGCATTAGGAATAGGAAACTGCAGTCTAGCAAACAACTCCAGCCAAAAAATTAAAAATAAAATAAGATTTACATGCATACCACTCAAGTCTTATGTATTTACATATCTAAAACCTGGACTTTAATTTTCACATATAAGCCACCTTACCCATGCATGAAAAGGTATATTTCACCTTTTAAAGATTAAGATAGTGGTGTATTTTGATATGATATGAAAGATTTGGGTGGTATAAATGTAAAATTTAGGTGTTAAATATATTTAAACATAAGAATTTGGCAGTATTTTTCAAAATGTCCCCAAAAAAACAATAAAAAACAAGTCCATACCCTGCAATGATGGTCAAAACCATCCACACATTTGTCACAAACTCTACAATGCTTGCTGCATTTCGACACCTGCATAAAAAAATAGAAAGATTGCTTCAATACAACTTCCAACACTGATAAAACAAGTTGACATATGATTCGGACACTAACATGGATGCAGTATAAGAATGGCAGATTATGGCAGATTGCAAAAGAAAGTTCATTAAGCACAAATAAATTAAAGAACAACCTCATTATAACAAGCATACAAAATAGAGAGATTTGCAAAGGAAATTCCATTAAGCACAACTAAACTAAAGAACGACCTCATTATAATAACCAATACAGAATAGGAAGATTTGCATGCATACCACTCAATTTTTATGCATTTACATATCTATCACCTAGACTTCAATTTTTACATATATGCAACCTTACCTATGCATAAAAATATGCACTTCATTTTTTAAAAAGTAAAATAGTGGTATTATTAATGTGATATTAAATATTTAAGTGTTATAAATGTAGAAAGTAAAATTTAGATGTTACATACATAAATATATAAGAATTGGGTGGCATGCATGTAAATGCCCCTACAAAATAACACATAAAAGCCGGTGTGCTTCAATATAAGACTTTTAAACATACACGAAGTTTATTGTAATTTATAAGGACTATGTTCTTCCCATTGATATGTTTTTTTTTCTAAAAAATGATAAGGGATCCGTGTTAAAGATTGGCGTCCACGACTCACGAGGGAGGATCCACTTATTTACTAGAGGTGCAAGATTTGTTATTTTCGCTGGTAATGATTGCTTCGAGAAGCGAGAGGCCAAAAGAAACTATTTGGAATATAAATATGTTATAGCTAATATTACAAAGATAAAATTTGTTTTGTGTGAATTTTAGCTTAGTCTCCCTTCTCATTTCAAAAGATTTGCACAAAAATGTGAGCCTCCAATCCCATGCAATAGGAAAACTAACAAAAGACAACAACAACAACAACAAGCCTTCATCCCACTACGCATGGTCAGCTACATGAATCCTTTTTCTCCACTACGTCACATTGAGTGTCATGTTTTCATTTAATTCTAATAGATTAAGATCATTTTTTATACAATATGCCCAAGTCTTTTTAGGGCTACTTCTATCTATCCTAACATAAGTGGAATCTAAAACATCCACTCTCTTAACTGGATCATGAGATAGTCGACATTTAAGGGACCAAGCCATCTAAGACGACTCTCTCTAATCTTGCATGCAACTGGAACTGGAGCTACGCAAACCCTTTCACGGATAGATTTATATATACATGCAAAATAAAAAAATAACATTTAGAGATACATTTAGGAGAATATTATAGCATAAAGAGCAGAAAATTAATGAAAACTGAATTCCTTTGAATTTATGAGCTTTTATGCTGTTCCATAAGGAACAAAGCATAGAAGTTTACATCCTTTAATTTTAATTTTTTTTTACAAGAAGAGTCCAATAATGATGAATATCATGCTGATAGCAAATGACCATCCAAAATGAAAACAAAAAGAAAGATTTTGCATGCATGCCACTTAATTCTCATGTATTTACATGCCCAATACCTCAACGTCAATTTTTACACAAAGTTAAAATGGTGATATTAATTATGTGCTATGAAAAATTTGGGTGGTATAAATATAAAAAGTAAAATTTAGTTGTTGGGCATGTAAATACATTGGAATTGGGTGGTTTGTATGTAAATGCCCCAAATAAAAAAACAATAGCATACCTCTACTTTACATAGACTACAGTAGAACATCCCATCCTCACTGGCTTGTTGCTCCGAAGATTGCCCGTGCTGGCTACATTGCGAAAACAAAGAGCACCAAACAAACAATATCATCAAAACTAGATTATTTCTACATGGATCTCTTATCGTTCCATGCCCATTAGGTGATCCTTCAATGCCATTTATACCAGACCCCTTTGCAGATTTATCCTCGATTGTTTTAGTAAGAGCATCATTAATAGATGGAGTTAATTCACCATCTCTTTCGCATGTCTTCAGTTGGTCATGCATTTCTACTTTTACGATACCACGATACTTGTTAGATTTTAAGACTTCTGGATCACCAGGATCAGTAGCGGTGCACCAAATATACAAGAAGAAGACAGAGGTTATCTGAAGAAAATACAGTGCATGCTTATATTAATACATCAGGACATGCAAAAACACTACAAATTCATTATTCAAGAGGTTCTTTCATTATTCCTATAAAAATTCATTCCATGTAGTTGCTTCTAACTTCCATTACACTAATTTTAACAATATGCTTCAATAAAAATTAGGAAGACTTGCCACTCAATTCCTATGTATTTACATACCTAACACCGAAATTAAAATTTTTACATGTATACCACCTTTCTTATACATAAAAAGGTGTACTTTATCATTTAAAGTTAAAATGGTGGTACTTGTGATGTGATATGAAATATTTGGGTGGTAGAAATGTAAAAAGCAAAATATAGGTGTTACATATGTAAATACATAGCAATCAGGTGTATGTCTGTAAATGCCCCTAAAAAATTATTACATACAGTGGTAAAATTAATGCCTAAATTGTAATGTAGATGTAAAATGCCCAAAAATGGAGCTCCGATAACCTTTTTGTAAGTAAAATTTGTCCCCAATTCGCACTAAATTTCAGAAAACTGGATTAAATTCATGCCAAATATAGTTTTAGGTTGTAACTTTTCCACATCAACATTGCTATTTTAGTTAAGTAACTCGTATTAGATTACAAATGGCATTAATGATTTAAACAAAAGCTACATAAATGTTCGACAAAAACATCGAAATCTCGTTTCTAAGCGATTTCAGTTAGAAACCCTAACCAGAAGAAACAGAAAACAGCAATGAAGAAATCACTCACAAGCGGAGTATAAATCCCTACAGCCAAATACTGGAACGCCTTCTTCCCGACGAAAGGGGCAAAGAACACATAGAAAGCAAAACCTAAAGCCAAGAAAACAGAAATGGCGACCACCTGCATCAAAGATTATGATAAAAAGAGAGCTCTCCAGTCATCGTCCGAATAACAAACAAACGAGAAGGTGAAACAGAGAGAGGAAATGCGAACCTGAAGAGGATGGTAAGGAAGCTGCCATCCATGCTTCCTCATTTCAAGAAAAGGCTCAAAATGAAGAGGAATCGAGCATCACAAAAGCCGCAAATCAACTCAATCTTTCCCTCTTCTCTCAAAGCCACAATGTTGGGAAGAATGTCCTCCCTCTCCCTCTTCCTCCTCTCTCTCTAAAACTTTTTCTCAGTGAACCAGACATGTGATACTGTGACCAGTTGCCTGAGGGAGAAGTTGGAAGGGGATAGCTGAGCTGTGCCTTCTTGCTTTCTTTTTTAATACTTTTATTATTTATTAATTAATAAAAGTTTAATAAAAGTAGACCACATAATTTTATGTATTTATATATTGAGCCTTAATTTTTACATTATATTTGTTTTATTATTAGATATGATAACTAAATTATTATTATTATTTTCTTAATTTCATATTAAAAATCAATTTCTTACAATAAAAATTAAGAATAATTACATAAATATTTTGAACTAAAGAATAGACCTATTTATGAGGTTATATATAGCATCCTCACTCCAAATATTATATATATATATAATATTTGGAGTGAGGATGCTATATATATATATATATATATATAATGTCAAGTGGTGTGTATCCAGGTGTGTTAAGATCCCTCAGGTTGAGAGTTTGAATCCCCCTCTAGCAATTTGAACCTTACGAAATGCGGTGCTCAAATTGTTAAGCACATTAAGAATGATTGGAATCTCTTATGATAGCCTCTTCTCTCTCTCTCTCATGTGAAAAAGTATATTTTTGTCTTAATATGCAAATACATAGAAATCAGATGGTATGTATGTAAATGGCTATTAAAATTATTGGAAATTTATATATATAATACATGCCATAGTTTTTTAAAAAAAACTGTCGGTTATACAGCTATTTTTTTATTTATTTATTTTTCATATCACTATCACACAATTATTCGCCTTCTAGCTTTTGACAATTTTTTTCAAAAATATTTTCTTAATAATTTAAATGGAATTATGCTCGCGATTTGTAGATTTATCAAATTAGTCTCCGACTATTTTAAAATTGAGCTTTAGTGATCCTCTTAATTCAAAGAGTCTCTTGACTATTTTGACATTTTTATAAATTTTACAGTTAAAAAATCTCATTAAAATCGGCTGAAATTATTTTGACGCTTCTATAAATTATATATTTTAAAAAATATCAATATTTTGTCACTTTATTCTACCCAAAATATATACAAATGCTTTGAAAATGGCAACACCAAAACTTTCAATCATTAAAAGTAATTTGAAAGAATAGATTAAGGTTTATTTACCTAATAAGCCTAAACTTGATATAAAGTGCAATTACATACAAATTATCACAATTATTATTATTTACAAATCAACCACCATCTTCATCCTTTTGCAACACGTATTTTTTCATTTTTTATCAAATTTTTAATAATTTAATCACGCACATATAAAAATCACTAAGATTATTAATTTATATATATTAATATTGTGAATGATTTATATGTAATTATCCAATTTATTGGTTGTATCTTTTCTCAAATTTTATTTCATAGTTTATAGATATTATAGACTTGCAGAGGACCGTCTGTTTGCAGGTGAGCAGACATTTATAGCGTGAAAAAAGATTCTCCTGCATGGAAAAAGCTGCTTAGTCAACAACTTTAAATAAATCAAAATCAGAAAAAAAAAAAAAAAAACACATTCGACATTCAAATTAGGTGTTATTGTGTGTTATTCAAATATTATTGATGTATTACTGTGTTATTATAATACTGAAAATATTTTCATAATATAATAACACCAGAATAACAACAATAAATAAATAACGCCGGGCCGATTTTTTTTTTGTACATTCACGTGGCATGATTTTATTGAGCTCCGCACGAAACTCTGAGTGCGGAATCAAATTAGAAGAGTCCATGTATGTTTAGTCTGTTTCAAATTTCATATTTTTTCTTCATTGATGTTCTCTACATTTCCCTCGTTATTATTTGATAAAAACTACAACTTTTAAAAGCTCCAACCATCATCATAATTAGATATATATTTAAAATTTAATATTTGTTACAAGTCAAAAGATCTTCTTAAATTACAATAGAAATTGCTCAATGCAATATTCAATTTAGCCCAACACAATATTTTTAATTGAGTTATGTCTTGTAATCTTATCTATTTCAAATTTTTATGTGTATTATTTTCATTATGATGATAAAAAAACTCCCTATTATATGTAACAGCTATATAGCGACATAAATATCACCTTACTTTTATGTATTTACATATCTAACACCTAAACTCACTTTTTTAAATTTATACCCGCAAACCTTTAATATGATATCAACAATATTATTATTTTAATTTTAAAAAATAAAATATATTTTTTCCTGCATATTATATATATATATATATATAT